TTTCTGAAGAAGGGTCTAGGCCCAAAACGCCAGCCTTCCTGCTCCTCTGATGCTGCTCGGCCTGCTGTGTTCATCCAGCTCTACACCTTGTTATCTCAGATTCTCCAGCATCTGCAGTACCTACTCTTTCTTATAAAAAGAAAAGCTGATTTTGTTGGCTTCAACATAATGAAATTGGCTCTTTAAGTAAGGAAAGAGTTAAGATTACCTCTGTTACTTAATTCCACAAAAGGGATCACGGAAAGTAAGTCAGTCAGAATGTCATTGTGCTTTGTATAATCACCAGTATCTGATACACTGCCTACATTCTTTGGTTTATTTATGCCATTGACAATAAAACCTAGAAAACTACTGTTCAAAGCATTCATTAAACTAAAAGGTTACTACGTTACGCAGGTGGTAACCTTTAACAGGCAAGAGACAAATATACTTGGAGGAGAATAACTTGCTTAGACTCCACTCCACAATCTTAAGTTAGATCACACAAATCATTTCCTTTCCCTGTAGATTTTGCTGCTGCCAACAATTTACTTTAAAGCTGAGGTGAAGATAATCATTGGAGCATTGTTACGGAGTATTTAAGATGCTGGAACACGTTGCAGAGAAAGAATACATACAACTCTGCATTTTTTGCTTTTTCCATGTAGTATATTCCTAAAATAGCTTATCTGTACCATGCCTACTTTGGAGCATAAACACAAAATGGTTGGGATGAATAATGGTTTCAATCTTTCATTTAGCATTGACAGCACACAAAGTGCTGGGCATTTGCCTTTATTAATCATTGTTTCTCTCGGTTGGTAGTGCTTATTTCATGAAGCCCTGAATTTGACCACTTAAATTTTCTTCAAGGAAAAATATTTAGTTTTAGAATTCAGTTTGGGAGAGGTGTTTTAATTGAACCTTGGGGAAAGAATTTTATTGGCAAATAGATCATTCACCAGAACTTAAAGTTCCAACAATTTTCTTATATTCACTCTCAGGATTATATTATTGCCCATCCCTAAATGCATACAGAACAGTCGCGAGTCAACCACATTGCTGTGGATCAGGCATCACATGTAGGCCAGACCAGGCAAGGATGACCGTTTCCCCACCCTGAAGGATATTAGTAAACCAGATTGGTTTTTCCAACAATCAACATTGTCATGATTACACTCTTGGTTCCAGATTTTTATTGAATTCCAATTTCACCATCTGCCATGGTGGGAATCAAATCCAGATCCCCAGAATATTACCTGGATCTCTGGAGTAACAGTCCAGCAATAATACCACTAGGCCATCACCTCCATTCTTTTTTTAAAAACTTACTACTGCTTGAGCCACATCTTCAGTTGATGAGGTGCTAAAATTCCCTTCTTAAACATCTCTACCTTGCCTTTCCTTTAAGATGTTCTTTGAAACCTATCTCTCTCTTTAACCAAGCTTTTAGTCACCGTCTAATATCTTTATGCAGCTCGTACCAAAGTTTACCTGCTATCACTCTCTCGTCCAACGTCTTGGTGTGTTTTACTATGACAAAAGGTACTATTGATATGATAGTGAAGCAAAAGCCACAAAGAAATTTTTAGTGAGTTTTGCACTTAGGAAAACAGTAGTAAACACTTGGGATAACAAACATAATGGAAATATGGAAATCAAGTAAAAATAAACGAATTAAATCTACTACACACAAGACGAGGTGACAGTTTTAATTGGCTCACAGGTTCTGCCTAAGACCCATCATCTGCCTTGATGATTTGCACCTGCATCAGTTGGCCCTTGTTAATTCGGCAGTGTTGCACCATATAAGCATCATCACTGTCCTGAGGCTGTGATCTGGATTTACTGATTTTTATTTGAAGAGAATGAGCAGTTTTAATTAATGTCTTCCTTTACCCTACAGCAAGGGGATCAGAAGAAGAAGAAACCAAAGAAGCACAAGAGTGATAAATGCAAGGCAGATAAACACAAACATTGCAAAAAATAGCACAGCATTTGTGGGGTTACACATGACATCATCGGAGTTGCTACTCCCATTTCTTAAAGATGTTTGCTTTAAAGAAACACAATCAGTCACTGTTTCATAAAATGAATGATCAAATATGAACTTACCTTACTAGAACTGCATGATTACCCAAGTTTTACCAATAAAGATTATAATTTGAATAACCAGCATTTGTGATATAATTAATTCAAATTCCATAAAGGGCCAGATTTTCAGCAAAGCAAGTAGCTAAAATTGGGACATTTAAAGGGAAAATGATGTGATCTTTGATGTGAAAAACTGGATGCTCATTGTCTTCATCGAGCTGTACAACACAGAAACAGATCCGGGCCGACCAGATATCCTAAATTAAAGTAGTTCCATTTGCCAGCATTTGGCTCATATCCCTCAATCCTTCCTATTCATGTACTCATCCAGATGTTTTAAATGTTTCTACTTGTAGCCAGCTCCAACAGGTCTGGCAAGTCATTCGATACATATACGACCCCCTGTGTGAAAAAGTTGCCTTTTAGGTCCCTTTTAAAATCGAACACCTCTCACCTTAAACCTATGCCCTCTGGTTTGGACTCCCCTACTCAGGGTGAATAGCCAAAAGACCCTTTTCCCCAATCCGGGCCCCTCATGATTTTATAAACTACTAAGGTCACCCCTCAGCCTCCGACACTCCAAGGAAAATAGCCCCACCATATTCAGCCTCTCCCTATAGTCAAGCCCTCCAACCTGGGAGGGCTCTTGTAAATCTTTTTCTGAACCTTTTCAAGTTTAACATCTTTCCTATAGCAGGGAGACCAGAATTCAATGTAGTATTCCAAAAGTGGCCTAACTGATGTCCTGTATCACTGCAATATGACATCTCAATGCACTGACCAATAAAGGCAAGTGTACCAAAAGCATTCTTCAATACCTTGTCTATCTGTGACTCCACTTTCAAGGAACTATGAACCTGTCCCCCCAAGGTCTCTTTGTTTGGCAACACACCTCAGGATCCTGCCATTAAGTGTCCAAGTCCTGGCCTGATTTGTCTTAGCAAAATGCAACACCTCACATTTATGTAAATTAAACTCCCATGTGCCACTCCTTGGCCTAATTGATCAAAGTCCTATTGTACTCTAAGACAACTCTTCGCTGTCCACTACACCACCAATTTTGGTGTTATCTACAAACTTACTAACCAACCATTCTTCCTATATTCACATCCAAATCATTTACAAAAATGACAAAAAGCAGCAGACCCAGCAATAATCCTTGCAGCACACCAGCTGGTCACAGGTCTCCAGTCTGAAAAACAACCCTCCACCACCAGCCTGTCTCCTACCTTCAAGCCAATTTTGTATCCAAATGGCTAGCCCTCTCTGGATTCCATGTGATCTAACCTTTTTAAACAGTCTATCAAGCAGAACCTTGTTGAATGCCTCGCTGAAGTCCATATAGACAATGTCAACTGCTCTGTCTCCAATCTACTTTGAAGAAGCGACAAGAAACCCAATTTATTTATTGTCACGTGTACCGAAGTACAGTGAAAAGCTTTTTTTACAAGCAGATCATAGTAAAGCAAGGATATACAGATCAAAAACAGGTTACATTGGACAAGTGTACACTAGGCGAGATCAACATTATTAGAGGCTAGAGTGTCCATTCATCCATACAATAATAGCCAGGAAGCTGTGCCTGAACCTGCTCGTGCATGTGTTCAGGCTTCTGTACCTTCTGCCTGACGCAAGAAGTTGTAGGAAATCATTACTGAGGTGCGATGGGTCTTTGATGATGTTGGCAGCTTTTCCGCAGAAGTGAACTGTGTAAATGGAGTCCATAGATAGAAGGTTGGTTTCCGTGATGGTCTGGGCTGTGCACACCATCTTCTGTAGCTTCTTATGGTCCTGGGCAGAGCAGTTGCCATACCAGGCTGTTATGCATCCAGACGGTACAGTCATAAAGTCAGAGTAATAGAGCATGGAAACAGGCCCTTTGGCCCAAACTGGTCCATGCTGCCCACTCACCTAGCTCCAATTGTCTGTATTTGGTCCGTATCTCTCCAAACCCTTCTCATCCATGTACTTATCCAAATGTTTTTTTAAATGGTGCCATTGTACCTGCCTCAACCATTTTCTCCTGCAGCCCATTCCACCTACAGTAACTCTCTGCATGAAGAAGTTGCCCCTCCGGTCCTTCTTAAATCTATCCTCTCTCGCCTTAGACCTATGCCCTCTAGTTTTCAATTCCCCATCCCTGGGAAAAAGGATTATATGCATTCATCCAATCTACGCCCCTCATGATTTTATACACTTCAGTAAGGTCACCTGTCATTCTCCTACATTCCAAGGAATAAAATCTTATCCTGGCTAACCTTTCGCTTTAACTCAGGCCTGCTAGTCCTGGCAACATCCTCGTAAATCTTCTTTGCACACTTTCCAGTTTAACTATGTCTTTCCTTTAACAGCATAACCAAAACTGTACACAATACTCCAAGTGTGACCTCACCAACGACTTGTACAACTGTAACATAACATCCCAACTCCTACACTCAATGCCTCGACCGATGAAGGCTGGTATGCTAACTGCCTTCTTCAGCACCCTGTCCACTTGTGACGCTGCTTTCACCGAACTATATACTTGTAGTCCTAGGTCCCTCTGTTCCACAACACTCCTCAGGACCTTACCATTTACTGTACAAGTCCTATCTTGGTTTGACTTTCCACAGTGCAACACCTCACACTCATCTGTATTAGATTGCATTTGCCAATCCTCAGCCCACTTACCATCTGATCAAGATTCCTATGTAATTTTTGAAAACCTTCTTTGCTATCAACGATACCTTTTAATTTTGTATCGTCTGCAAACTTACTAATAATGCCTTGTACATTCTCATCCAGTCACTTATGTAAATAACAAATAACAAAAGTCCCAGCGCCGACCCCTGTGGCACACCACTAATCACAGGCCTCCAGTCCAAGAAACAACCTTCAACCATCACCCTCTGCTTCCTACCATTGAGCCAATTTTGAATCCAATTAGCTAGCTCTCCCCAGATCCCATGCAACCTAACTTTCATGACTAGTCTGCTGTGCGGGACCTTGTCAAAGGCCTTACTGAAGTCCATAAAGACAACATCCACTGCTCTACCCTCATCCATCCTCTTGGTTACTTCTTGAAAAACTCAAACATTTGTCAGACATGACTTCCTGCGCACAAATCCACGCTGACTATCCAAATGTTGGTTGATCCGGTCCCTGAGTATCCTCTCCAATAAACTTACATACCACTGATGTCAGATTCACTCACCTGTAATTCCCTGGCTTGTCTTTGCTACCTTTCTAAAACAATAGAACAACATTAGCCATCTTCCAATCTTCTGGAACTTCACCATTGGCTAAAGATGAAGCAAAAATCTCTGCAAGGGCCTCTGCAATTTCCTCCCTCGCCTCCCACAACATCCACGGATGGACTTGATCAGGCCCAGGGGATTTATCCACCTTAATGTGCTTTAAAGGCTGCAAACACCTCCTCTCTGCTAACGTGTATGCGATCCAAAACATCCCCACTTGCTTCCCTTATTTCCTTAGCATCCATGATTCTCTCCTTCATAAACGCGGAGGAGAAATATTCATTAAACACCTCCCCCATCTCCTGCGCCTCCACACATAGACGGCCATGCTGATCTTTAAGGAGACCTATTCTCTCCCTAGCCACCCTTTCACTCTGAACAGAGCTATTGAACCTCTTGGGATTATCTTTAACCCTCTCTGCCAGATCCATCCCATACCCTCTTTTTGCTATTCTGATTTCCCTCAAGTGTACTCCTACGCTTTTTAAGAGTCATCTAGGGATTCACTTGCGCTCGAGAGCTTACGTCCAATGTATGCTGCCTTCTTTTTCCTGACCAGAGCCTCAACATCCTTTGTCAGCCAGGGGATCCCTAAACCTACCAGCTTTTCCCTTCAGACTAAGAGGGACATAATGTCCCTGGACTCTTGATATCACACTTTTAAAAGCCTCCTTTTTGCCAGTCATTCCTTTTCCTTCAAACAGACTCACCCAATCAACATCTGCTAGATCCTGCCTCATCGTTGTTAGATATCCATCCACTACGGTGGGGATTTCAGCGAACTTGTAGATGGCATTAATTCAGAATTTGGCTACACTATCATGGGTGTACAGGGAGTACAGTAGGGGGCTGAGTAAGCATTCCTGGGGGCCTCCAATGTGAAGTGTTATTGTGGAGGAGGTGCAGTTACCTATCTTTACTGATTGTGGTCTGTGGTCAGAAGGCTGAGGATCCAGTTACAGAAGGCAGAACCAAGACCATGGTCATGGAATTTTGAGATCAGTGTGGACGGCATAATGGTGTTGAAGGCGGAGCTGTAGTCAATAAGCAGGAGTCTCACGTAGGTGTCTTTGTTGTCCAGTTGTTCCAGGGATGAGTGCAGGACTAGGGATATGGCATCTGCCATATTTCTCATGCCCAAAGCCACATTGCCTATCCCTAATCAGTCCTTGTTTTTCTAAATACATGTAAATCCTGAACCTCAGAATCCCCTCCAATAACTCACCCACCACACTCCAATGCAGATCAGAGGTAGCCATAGAAGTTGCTGAGTAATGAGGCTAGCTGCTTAAAAAGTTCACCTTTGTTCTCTGGGACTTGGTCCCAATTCTTTAAATATTTGACTTTAGCCACACGCTCCCCTTTCTGCTTACAACTACCTGCCAAGACTCCTCGAAGCGTATAAATGCCCACTGTCTAGGAATTCTACAATAACAATATGTGGGGATGCTTTAGAATAAAGTTACAAAGAGCTGTCTTTTTAAAAATGTTGCTGTTATAATCCTAGTATCAAGCAACGATACCTTTATATAATCACTAATCAAAATTGGACATTTCATCTTGAAGAGACTTGGAAGTGTCAATCAAGAAAAGCTTTCCCCAGCACACCCATTTCAACAAAGTCATGGAAATCTGAGATGTCAGCCAAGTGTACATAATGAGGTAGCATGAGCTATTATACAGGGTATGGGGAGTCATTAGGCAGGGAGAGCAAGAGGGGTTTGTGAGGATATGAGTTGGCACAGGGGACGTGTGTAATAATTTTTTGAACTTTTATTTTGAAAAAGAAAGAAGATTCCAGCAGAGAGACAATGGCTTACGGGCTGTGCAAGTAAAAACTGGTGCATTAGGAATGAGGGCAGAAATCGCAGCATCAGGTTCACCAGCCCACCTCAAAAACACCTGACCACAGGCCTGTACACTTATCTAAAGCAAGAGGGGGAAAGCCTTCCTTTGTGTAGTTGCCTATGCTGTCTCAGTACATGGGAAATTCCTGGATTTATTTTTAATACAGAGATCAACTGTGTTAAAAAGGAAGGTTGTCAATTCACTGACTGATGAAGGAGGCTTCAACAGCAGGAGAAGCACCAAATCAGTGATGGAAACTTCTAAATTGCCATGATATTTTACATTTATGCTGATCAATTTCAGTAGAGCAATGTCAGTGCAAAGACAGACAGCTTTGCCATCATTTTAACGGTACAAGTTAAGGCTGTTATCATTGGATCACCATACAGATCAAGTATTTTTTTGCCATCAGCAAGCCATGTTCAGGAAACTTGTATAGTGGTGGCATGTAGCAGCCATTCCAATTTGACTTCCAGACCACTTCTCACAACTCTTGGATTCGACCTAAATTTGACACATCTGGGCTGTTAGAATAAAGTTGCAAAGAGGTAACGACAGCACAGCAAACATATTTCCAAATAAATCATTGCAAGCATGAAATTGGCATTCATCAGCGTTCTACTGATGTGAAATGTGGAAGAACGTGCGCTTGCATAATCTGTCATGTTTATTCCAACTGTTTGTATTAAAAATGTCTGGCTGTCTACCTGCAAAATGCCACTACCTGGACACTGGCTTTCATTCTCTGGAAACGGCTGTCAGAACTCAAATGATAATTAACAAAAAAATTTATTTCAAAAGATAAAGGCAAGAGGTTTAAGAAAATAAATGCACAGATAACAATGTACATACAAAAATGGAGGGACATCATACAATACTGCAAAATTCAAAATGTGCTTATTGTAATACATTATTGCCCTGCAAAGTCTAACTTTTTACTATTTATGTACAGCAGAATTAAAACAAATAATCCATGCGCATATGGTATTTTTAGAAACTGAAAAGTTTTTTTTTTAAAAAAAAAATCGCATATCAGAAATCTTGATTCAGAAGGGCAACCCCTTTACAAATAGGTAGCCAGCTCTAAAAGTTTACTCTACCCTTGTGACAAAATTTACAGGCGTCAAAAATTTATTTCTTTTTTATAGCATCAAATTATTTCTTTTAAAAAAACACGAATAGATATATCAAGCAGGAAACTGACGAGTGTCTGATTCCTCATATCAAATGGTTGGGGGGGGGGAAGGCGTGGAGCAAAAACTAAAAACTCCCCAGTTGAGACAGCAAAATGAAAATGCAAAAATGTCTAAATGATCAAATTCAGACAATCACCAGAAAATACTGCTGTGGATACAATAAAATGGAGTATCAGCATGACTATACTCAGGTATAGCCAATCAACCCTAGTACTGTGGTGCATCAACACTGCAATGTACTCCAATTAATGCAGTTATTTGGTTCAAATCATCTGAACGTACAATTCCTTTTTAAGTGCTGAATCATACCGTTTCTGTTTATATTACTCAATTTCAATGAGACAATTCAACTTTTTAAAAATACAAATATGGTTTAAATTACAAGACTAGATGATCTAATGTGTCACAGAAATCAGTCAGTCACTCTTCTGTTGTGCTCAGACATGTTTAAAAGCAAAAGAAAAATATTTCTGGAAGATTTCTTATTAAAAAGAAATATCAACTAATTTTAAAAATATACCAAAATCAGCTTCTGTGTTCTTATTTCTCTTAGCTGTGGGAGCAAACTTTAATAGTGTGTGCCTGAGTGTTTTTCTTTAATTACCTAACTCCAAAACACTGAGTGTCATTAGTACACAAGCTTCTCCAGCAATGAAGGGATTTGACCAAAAAAGGAGAAAATTTGGAAAACTTTCCTGAGTTCAAATAAACTGGTGACTATAATTCTGGTAAGACATATTGATTACAGCTCCTTCACTTAAAAAAAAACATAAAAAACACTAAGCAGAATGCTGCACTATTTTCTAGGACAAAGTTACACTTAAACATCCCTTTCATGGTCTCCAAATATGTTGTTTCAATGCTGCAATTGCAGTTTTTGTGCCATCATTTTTATCAACAGTTCTGAATAGTGCTCTAGCAAAGCTGTTGCCTTGCCATTCTCTAGAGATTCTGAGGCAAAAAGTGACTTGTTTACCAGAGGAGCTGAAACTGGCAAACATTCTACAGAGTTCATATGCTTTTTCGCAGAGGAAAACGCATCACACAGGATGGCCATCATCTGGGACTTCAGCTCTGGTGCATCTTCACTGGACATCACCTATGAAGAAAAACTGGATTACAGCAATGAGTTTTTTAAAAATACAATTCCTTCCTTCCAGAGGTACAGTTCCTTAGACAAGACCTGTTACCTGGCAGTGAGCCGTGAGACAGGGAGGGCCAGATGATTCAGACATATTGTAGCATACCATCTTCAACTAATGGTAATGCATAAGCATTTTGCAGTAGTAACCTAAAGCAAGAAACAGGTGATCTTTTCCCTTTTTATCTTTGGAATACTGAAACTAACTTCGAATAATGATTATACCTGAAACAAAAACAAATTGCTAGAGAAACTCAGCAGGTCTGGCAGCACCTGTGAAGAGAAATCTGAGTTGTTTCAGAGATCCAGTGATATTTTTTCATTTCTGGTGCTGCCAGACCTGTTGGGTTTCTTCAGCAATTTGTTTTTGTTTCAATTGTCCAGCACTTACAGTCCTTTGTTTTAATTTAATGATTAGACCAGTTTACTTCAACACAGTAGCTTATTCATGTACGGTAGCTCTGCTTTTCCCCCAACCACTTCAGCAATTTTCTGGACTGTGAATGTCTGAGTAGCAGAACTGCTTGTTTGCCAAGTCTTTGACTTTTATTGATCCAAAACCATCTGTGGCCTCAAGATAGCTATCTGTTTCATTACTGGACAAGAAATTTATCTCATCTTCATTTGCTTGTTAGTACCAATATGTCAGAAGAAGGCAGTTTAAATATGTGCTTCTATGGAGTCATACATAGATTCATCAAGTCATAAGGATGTACAGCACAGAAACAGATCCTTCAGTCCAACTCATCATGTCGACCCAATATCCTAGATAAATGTGGTCCCACTTGTCAGCTTTTGGCCCATATTCCTCTAAACCTTCCTATTCAAATACCCATGCAGATGCCTTTTAAATGTTGTAATTGTATCAGCCTCCACCATCTCTTCTGGCAGCTCATTCCGTACACGCACCACCCTCTGCATGAAAATGTTGCCCTTTTAGGTCCCCTTTATATCTTTCCCCTCTCACCTTGAACCTATAGTTTTTGACTCCCCCAACCCAGGGAAAAGACCTTGTCCATTTTCCCTATCCATGCCCCTCATGATTTTATAAACCTCTCTAAAGGTTACCCCTCAGCCTTTTCCAGGGAAAATAGCTTATTCAGCCTCTCCCTATAGCTTAAGACCTCCAACCCTGACAACATCCTTGGTAAATCTTTTCTGAATCCTTTCAAATGCTTCCTATAACAGAGTAACCAGAATTGAACACAGTATTCAAGCATAATCATGTCTCGGTCAAAAATGCCCAACGAAAAGTGAACCACAAAACTACAGAAGCAGAAAAGATCCTGTTGTTAGTCTAATAGGAACCTCATTGGATGGCCAGACTACTGTTTCAGACAAATGTAGTACTGCACATCTAAACTCAATGTAGTCAATTGGCATTACACGAAGTGTTGAAACATGGTTTCTGTCAAATCTGTTTGATTTAAGAATTTCCACAGCTATCATCTTCAAAGGTTATAAACCAGAAAGTCAGAAGATAAATCAAGGCACCCTACAGCAGAGTTTTACATTACTTTGATTTCAATAGCCATTTCACATTTTGATAGTTACCTTTTAACAGAAAGTTCTGAAGTATGGTCATTGCTAGCCATGGGCAGCATTTGTTGCCCATTCACTTATACGCTTCTATAAGAGCACCCCCTCAGTCTCCTACGCTCTAAAGAAAAAAGTTCTAGCTTGTCCAACTTCTCCCGATAACTCAGTCCCTTGAGTCCTGGTAACATCCTTGTAAATTCCTTCTGCACTCTCTCCAGTTTAATAATATTCTTTCTAGAGCAAAGTGGCCAAAACCAAACACAATATTCCATGTGTGGCCTCACAACGTCCTGTACAACTGCAACATAACTTCCCAATTTCTGTACTCAGAGCCCTGATTAATGAAGGCCAGTGTGCCAAAAGCATCCTTCAATGCCCTCTCTGCCTGTGACTCGACTTTCAGAGAACTGTGTGCCTGAACTCCAAAGGTCCCTCTGCTCCATTACACTCTTTAAGGCACTAGCATTCACCATGAAACTCCTAGCTTGATTTGACTTTCCAAAATGCAACACCTCACACTTATCTATAATAAACTCCATTTGCCACTTCTCAGCCTACATCCCAGCTGATCAAGATCTTGCTGCAATTTAATACCTTTCTTCACTGTCCACGACACAGCCTACTCTAGTGTCATCCGCAAACTTACTAATCATGCCTTGTACATGCTCATCCAAATCATGGATACGGATAACAAACAGCAATGGGCCCACACCAACCCGAGGCACACCAGCAGGACAAGCATCCTTCCACTATTATTCTCTGCTTCCTACCATCAAGCCAATTATGTATCCACTTTGTCAGCTTTCGCTGGATTCCATGCGATCTCACCTTCCAGAGCAGTCTACCATGTGGAACCTAATCAAAAGGCCTTACTAAAATCCATGCAGTCTACATCTACCGCCATGCCCTCAGGAAGGTTGATGGTCACTTCAAAAGAACAGTAACGAATTTGAGAGGCATGATCTCCCACGCATGTAGCCATGCTGATTACTTCTAATCAAACCCCGGTCTTTCTAAATGCACGTATATCTTATCCCTCAGAATCTTCTCAAGTAACTTACCTACCACAGATGTTAAGCTTACTGGTCTATAAATCCCAGGTTTTTCTTTGCAGCTCTTTTTGAATAAGGGCACAACATTCGCTACCCTCCAGTACCTTTCGGGACCTCATCCATGCCTAACGATGATGCAAACATATTAGCCATGACCCCCCCCCACATTTCTTCTCTAGCCTCTTGCAGGGTTCTCGGATATATCTAATCAGGACCAGGAGATTTATCCACCTTCATACATTCTAATACTGCCAACATCTCCTCTACTGTGATATGGACCATCCCAAAGAGATCACCACTAACTTCTCCAAGTTGCCAAGTTTTCATGTCTTTCTCCACGGTAAACACAGAGGAGAGTGTGTTTGAGGACCTTGCCCATCTTCTGTGATTCCACACATACATGTCCCTGGAGGGGTCCTATTACCATTAAGCTGCCAGTCCTGTCCCTTCCTTAGCTATGTTTCTGTAATTGCTACAATATCCCAGCCCCATGTACCTGTCCATGCCCCGAGTTCACCAGCCTTAGCGGTCAGCCTCTTGCATTGAAATAGTTGTAATTTAATCCAACAGGCATTCCTCACTCCCTGTCCTGTTCCAGCCTGACCTGTCTCTTCAACTTGCTGTTTCTGATTACTATATCTCCTTTCCCACCCCGCTGCCAATCTAGTTTAAACCCTTCCTTGCAGCACTAGCAAATCTGCCTGTCAGGATATTGATCCCCCTCCAGTTCAGGTGCAACAGGTCACCTCTGCCCCAGAAAATGCCTCAAATATCCAAGAATCTGAATTCCCGCTCCCTGCACCAATTCTTCAGCCACGCATTCATCTGCCATATCGTCCAGTTCTTACCCTCACGAGCACGTGGCAGTGGAAGTAATCTGGATATTGCCACCTTTGAGGTCCTGGTTTTTAAAAATTTTTCCTAGCTGTCTATAATCACTCTGCAGGACCTCATCCCTATTTCTACCTATTTCATATTAAATCAGAAAATACTCAGATGAAAATTTTAAGCATAATAAATTCTACTCTGCTGTACTTCATCCCCTGCTCTCCATAAAAAGGGAGAGCATTCAATTCTGATCTCCCTGTTATAAGAAAGATTTTGTTAAATTTGAAAGGGTGCAGCAAAGATTTATAGGGATGTTGCCAGGCTTGGAGGATTTGAGATGTAGGAGAGGTTGAATAGACTGGGGCTATTATCCCTGGAGTGCTGGAGGTTGGAGAGTGACCTTATAGAGGTCTATAAAATCACGAGGGGCATGGATAGGGTGACCATTCAAGGTCTCTCTCCTCCCCACAACCCCCGCCCCTCCCCCACCCCACCCCCGGGGGCGGGACTCCAAAACTAGAGGGCACAGGTTTAAGGTGAGAGGGAAAGGGAAAGATTTAAAAGGGACTTAAGGGGCACATGTTTCAGGCAGTGGGAATGTGTTGCAAGAGGAAGCAGTGGAGGCTGGTACAATTATAAACATTTAAAAGGCATCTGGATGGATACATGAAAAGGAAAAGTTTAAGACGGATATGGGCCAAATGCTGGCAAATGGGACTAGATTAATTTAGATTATCTGGTTGACATGGATGAGTTAGATCGAAGGGTCCGTTTCCATGCTGTATACAACTGTGACCCTGACTCGTGATACAATGTTAGACAGATATTTACTTGTTAAATGTACTTCAAGAATTTGATTAAGAAATTGTTCATGTATGAGAGAGATAGTAGGAACTGCAGATGCTGGAGAATCAGATAACAAGGTGTAGAACTGGATGAACACAGCAGGCCAAGCTGCATCACAGGAGCAGGAAGGCTGACGTTTCGGGCCTAGACCCTTCTTCAGAAATGGGGGAGGGGAAGGGGGCTCTGAAATAAATAGGGAGAGAGGGGGAGGCGGATAGAAGATGGATAGAGGAGAAGATAGGTGGAGAGGAGACAGACAGGTCAAAGAGGCAGGGATGGAGCCAGTAAAGGTGAGTGTAGGTGGGGAGTTAGGGAGGAGATAGGTCAGTGCAGGGAGGACGGACAGGTCAAGGGGGCGGTATGAAGTTAGTAGGTAGGAGATGGGGGTGGGGCTTGAGGTGGAAGGAGGGGATAGGTGGGAGGAAGGACAGGTTAGGGAGGCGGGGACGAGCTGGGCTGGTTTTGGGATGCGGTAGGGGGAGGGGAGATTTTGAAGCTTGTGAAGTCCACATTGACACCATCGGGCTGCTGAGTTCCCAAGCGGAATATAAGTTGCTGTTCCTGCAACCTTCGGGTGGCATCTTTGTGGCACTGCAGGAGGCCCAGCGGAGGCTTGGGGACCACTTTGCAGAACACCTACGCTCAGTTCGCACTAAACAAGTGCGCCTCCCAGTCACGAACCATTTCAACTACCCCTCCCATTCCTCAGACCACATGTCCATCCTGGGCCTCCTGCAGTGCCACAACGATGCTACCCGAAGGTTACAGGAACAGCAACTCATATTCCGCTTGGGAACCCTGCAGCCCAATGGTATCAATGTGGACTTCACAAGCTTCAAAATCTCCCCTCCCCCGACCGCATCCCAAAACCAGTCCAGCTCATCCCCGCCTCCCTAACCTATCCTTCCTCCCACCTCAAGCCCCACCCCCATCTCCTACCTACTAACCTCATCCCGCCCCCTTGACCTGTCCGTCCTCCCTGGACTGGCCTAACTCCACACCTACACTCACCTTTACTGGCTCCATCCCCACCTCTTTGACCTGTCTGTCTCCTCTCCACCTATCTTCTCCTCTATCCGCCTCCCCCCTCTCCCTATTTATTTCAGAACCCCCTTCCCTTCCCCCATTTCTGAAGAAGGGTTTAGGCCCGAAACGTCAGCCTTCCTGCTCCTCTGATGCTGCTTGGCCTGCTGTGTTCGTCCAGCTCTACACCTTGTTATCTCTTGTTCACGTATGAACTGGTTTTCTTTCCAGGCATTGAAACTGACAGGAATAGAAACATCCACATAGATGCAAAAATATTAATGAATATAGCCCATTCTACCAAGTGCTACAATATTCCTTTGAAACCTCTTGGAAAATTGTACACAGGCCTATTTTGTTGCAAATACTCTGCAGGATAGTGCTCTGGGCAAAAAAAAAAAATTTGAGACAATAGGTTTATATCAGTATTTAGGTTTCACACGGTTCTTTTTCCAACCTTCTTCACCTAACCCCATCAAATATGGTTCTTTTCCTTTATTACCTTGTGTTTATTAACCTTCCCCTTAAATACACTCCGTTGGTCACTTGAAACACAGCTTGTGAAAGCAAATTCAACTTGTTTTGATTCAAGACTATGGACACCAATTGAAGACTGGCAGGTAGGGGTAACAAATCAAGCTAGCTTTCTGCAATGTAATACATTTGTTTAAGAAATAGTGAAGAAAAGGTAGCTTGAAATAGGGAAAAAGTTGAAGTTAATCAATGTGCATCTACCTTGCTGTACAGCTGTAAGGCCTTCTGCAAACTGTTTTGAAGTTCCATAACAACGTACTCACAGTTCTCGACACTGACGACAAGATCTGCAAAAATTAAGAAAATGACTCAAATATAAATTCCCATGACTCCCTAACATACTAATAGTCCAAGTAAAACAGGAAAATACAATATATGCAATTTATGGATAAAAAATAATTCAGAAGTTGAATTGTTACAAATATACATTGTAATATTAAACTGTAGTGCAGAGGCGTGTGAAAATCCCTATACTATGGTCAATCCTGGATTTGGGCAAATAAATTTCAGGTGACGATAGATCATACATTAGTTGTGATGTCAGATATTCAATCTCCATGTTAACACATGATAAACGTCTGAAACAAAAACAGAAGTAGCTGGAGAAAGTCAGTGGGTCTGGCAGCATCTGTGGAGAAAACATTCAGAACAGCTCTGAAGAAGGGTCAGTGGACTCAAAATTTTAACTCTGCTTTCTCTCAGGTTTCTCCAGGAATTTGTTTTTGCTTCAGATCTTCAGCATCTGCAATTCTGTTTTATTTTACATGACAAATGTTATTTGGGTGAGGCAAATCCATGGCTAACACTTGCAACTACAAACCTGATCTAGATGTTATACCAATCATTCCTCTTGGAGGGATAGGGTTTTCACATTTAATTTGAAATTAGTGTTCTGATTATTAGCATGTCCACCATAAACATGGTCTGAACATTGAAATATTTTCTTATCTATAGTCAGTTATAGGTTTATAGAACTTGAAAAACACTACTGAAAGCACACCACAAGAAACAGAATCTTTGATATACACAAAACATTTATGTGATTTGATGCTGAGATGTTTCAATTTGCGTCGATTTATAAAGGCATACATGGCATTAGACCATAAGCCTATAAGATACAGAAGCAGAATTAGGCAATTTGACCCATCAAGTCTACTCCACCATTCAACCATGACCGATGTGTTTCTCAACCCCATTCTCCTGCCTTCTCCCCCTAATTCTCGATTTTATTACTAATCAAGAATCTATATATCTCTGTTTTAAACACACTTAATGACTTAGCCTCCATAAACTTCCGCGGCAATGAGTTCCACAGATTAATTGCCCTCTGGCTAAAGAAATACTTCATTTCAGTTCTAAAGGATCATCCCTTCACTCTGAGGCTGTGCCCTCGAGTCCTAGTCGCTCCAACTAGTGAAAACATCTTTCTCCACATCCACTCTATCCAGGCCCCTCAGTCTTCTACGTTTCAATCAGATCCCTCCAATCCTCCTAAAGTCCACTGAGTACAGACCCAATGTCCTCAACTGCTACTCATATGACAAACCCTTCATAAGAGGCAAAAACTGCTCACAATATTTCAAAAGTGGTCTGACCACTGCCTTGTACTACAGAGGCTGTATATCTCTGCTCTTGTATTTTAGACCTCTTGAATTGAACGCTAACATTACACTTACCTTCCTAACTGCTAACTAAACCTGCATTAAAAGTGAGAATGGCAGCCTTATGGCATGTCTGAATGCACTTGCAATCAAATGCTGCTTAAGATAGTGAGCCTCAGCCAAAAAAGTTCACGACTACGCCTGCACTGGAAACACAAGTCAAACTTTGATTTTTCAGTTGACTTCTTTTCCAGGTGTTAAATTGAGCTATTATAGAGTCAGAGTCATACAGCTCAGAAACACCCTTCAGTCCAACCAGTCCATGCCAAACGTAATCCCAAACTAAGCTAGCTAGCCTGCTCCTGGCCCATATCCCTCCAAACCTTTCCTATTCATATATTTATCCAAATGTCTTTTAAATGTTGTAATTGTTCCCACATCCACTACTTCATCAGGAAGTTGATTCCACAAGCGAACCACCCTCTGTGTAAAAGAAATTTGCCTCATGTCTTTTTAAAACGTCTCTCCTCTCACCTTAAAAACGTGCCCCCTAGTCTCAAAATTCCCCAACTTGGGGAAAAGAGGAGATTAACCTCGGAACAGATGGGAATTAACTCTTTGCAACCTGCACATTTCCCTCCACACCCATTAGAACAAATTAAAGACTTTAAAGGCAATTCTGCTATTTGTCACTAAAAATATTGAAGTCCATGGTCATTCTTCTGGCTAGAATATCCACCTAAACAACTTTAGGTCAAATTGAAACATTTACTTCAATTATGTTTAAGCATCAGGACAGTTACAAACTATACAAGGTGCGCACTACAACATTCATGTATCTTACGGTTTACACAAATACATTGTTGGAGTGCAGAACAGGCAGTGGAAGAACGTTCAACTGCATCTTAGCAGAAGTATTCATCCTTGAACTGTGTAGACAATTATAACCTCTGCAGTTCAAATAATTTAAATGGTAGAATGACATTGCAGTCAAGGGGCTATTAAATAGATGAAGGGTGGAGAGATGACAAATCAGATTTAAAAACACAAAGCTAGCCAAGAATGAAACAAAATTTTACATTGAAATTTCTATTAAGATTTATTCTATTTATTTGTTTCAAGAAACACTAAGGAAAATTCTGGGAGTCAGAGATGCTATGAAAATTGAACACACATCAAAAAAATTACAATACCTGCTTCATTGGTAGGTTTCTCTTCAATCCCCATACTTCCTCTCAGTGATTTAGGAACGTCCTTGGGAAAGCCATTTCCTTCTGGGATGGTTATGGAATTACAGCTCACAACATCCCTGCTGGGACTGATGCTGTAATTCTGTGGTTGTACAAGAATTGAATTCCATGATGGAAACTTTTCCAGAGTGGGGTCAGTGCCATCTTGAGAACTGTTACAGTGCTCTGAATTACCAGTAGCTTTCTTTAGGATTGTAAAGGAGTTCATGTTTGGGATACTCCCCTTTTCCTCATGGTTTTCACAAACAGTTTGATCATTTTTAGACAAGCTTGTTGGTGGTGTGGGTGTGACTGCCAAGGTAGATGGCCGTGTAGAATCTTGACCAGCCTGCAGTTTTTGTTTGACTTTTGTAACACCAATACTATTAGCTATTGGAGGAGGCATCAGCAGTCTGTCTGTGTGCATTTTGGAAAGGTTCAGTGTCAAGCTAGCTCTAGCTTGATGGTTTCCATAAGACAAAGTACCATTCTGTAATGTCTCTTTTGGTGGCACCTTTACTTTAAAATTTTCATTTGGACTATCTTCACTTGGAGTGGACCCTTTCATTGACTCTGTTAAATCTACTGTAGACACCGCTCTGGAATTGGGTAAACTCATACCATTCGACTGTCCTAAGGTTTTCAGATGCAGGTTTTCTTCCACTGACGCACTCCGTGACATTTTAGCCTTGAAACTGGCAGTTGGGTGCATATAGGACCTAGGTTTGCAAAGTTTGTTCTTAGACATCTCTTTACTGAGGGTTGCAGCAAGCATGTCCATTTTACTACACAGTGAGTGTCTTTGTTTTGTTCCCTCATTTACACGCACATTCTGCAGGCTGGATCGAGCTGCTGCTATGAATGAATCAGATGATGCCTGTTCTTCTAATTGAAAATGGGCAAGAAGAAAACAAATGTGATCAAATATTTAGTTTATGTACTTGCAGTAAACCTTCTGAAAAAGTGAAATGACAATGAATTATTTTACGAACAAAGGACACTCACTTGGGAGGATCATGCTTAGGATATTAACTACCAATCTGTAAATAGAATACCTCTAAGATTAAATCTTACCTTCTTGTACCAGATCAATTACTGAGGCTGATCGTTTACACATTTGATGTCTTCCGTTATTTGGTGCTGCACCTTTCACCTCCAAACCAAGAGGTTTCTCAGTGTTTGAACTCATTGATTTTATGTCCCATTCACTTCCACTGTATTCTCTCTCAACAGTTTGACACATCTCTTCATCTCTAAGGTGTTTTGTACCATTGAAAGATGACCCTAACTCCGATCCGTGACCATCTACAAAAGATTTCATTTCAGCATTCAATTGTGTAGACTTGCACAGTGTCTGTGAGGAGAGGTAGAGAAATGGAAAAAGAAAAAGGAAGATTTAAAAGTTCTACTCCCATACTGCCTTCAAATTCCCCGAACTATATTCTTACTCAGGCTTGTCTCACTCCAGATGTGATCTCTCCCTCCTGATTGCAATGCAGCTTACAGTCACACATTTGCTTCAGAATTACCTACCTCACTTTCAAACAATGTAAAATTCTGTCACAGTGGAATCACTCGTCCATAAAGATTCTTTTATAACAAGACTGATAATTAGCTTTTTTCATTACATAATACTGGAATTAAAACAGCATGCCCTCTCCTTGGCTCAACACACTTCTCTCAAAAGCCATTCTAAAGCACTCCAGAAACCCGTCCCTCGGACCCACAGTGCTTATTGGTTTATCCAGATACATGCATATTGAAGTCACCCATGATAACTGCGTAACTCAATGCTACATGCTTCTCATTTTCTGATTAACACTGCACCTCACACTACCATTACTATTTGACGGCCTATAAAATAACTCCAACTAATGTCTGCTGCTCCTTGTTCTTAGTTCCACCCAAACACATTCCACATTGTTCTTCCAATCCAAGATCCTCCATGACTAATACGTGACTCCATTCCTTACTTTCAGCAACTCCACCAACTTCTCCTTTTAGTCTGCTTTTCCTAAATATTCAATATCTTTGAAAATTCAATTCCCAGTCTTGGTCACCATGCAGTCATGTTTATGCCATGTACTTTGGATCATACCCATGTATCTGTATTTGTGCTTCTGGCTCAATGATCTTGTTGCGAATGTTGTGTGCATTTAGAGATAGTGCACTTAACTTTGTCTTTTAGCCATCATTCTGATTTTGAAGCACACTTTATGCTTAGCTTTGCTTTTCCTGTCTAGGATTCTTAGCATCTTTTCAAATTCACGTTACCAACTTTACTTTCTTTCAATTTGGCCTAACTCTCAGGTTCCAATCTCCCCGCGAAGCTAGTTTAAACTGACCCAAGCAGCACTAGCAAATGTGTCTGCAAGGTTCTGCAGAAGGGTCACTAGACCTGGAACACTGACCCTGCTTTCTCTCCATAGATACTACAAGACATGCTGAGTTTCTCTAACAATTTCTGTTTTTGTTTCAGATCTCCAGTTCTTCTTTTTTTGTTTTGGAAAATTTCCTGCAAGGATCTGTCCCAGTCCTGTTAAGACACAACCTGCCTGGCTTAAACAGGTCCCGCCTACTGCAGAACCTGCCCCGATTCCTCAGAAATCTCATGACCTTCCTCTGACACCAGTTTTCTAGCTGTATATTCAATCAGTCATTCCTTCTGTTCTTACGCTCAAAAGCTTTGGGATTGGGAGCAATTTTATGATTATCGCTCTGCAATTCCTGTTGAAAACCCTATCCAGGAAGGATGCCCTGAAGCCACAATGAAATGTGCAATTTGTCCAAAGTAATATTATAGAAACTCAGGACAGCAGGATTTAGATGTATTCTTTTAAGTGGCAGAGCTACAATAAGACTCAATTAAGAAATAATCTACTTTAAATTGTATTATTGATGACAAGTTTGCATTTCAAATATGCTTGATGTACACAGCAAACCAATCGCATAGGAAATTTTGATCAGTGCTTTGGATATGATCCTTAACAAATATTTTACACATTTTTTCCCAAGAACAGTCAGTGCTACAGCAGATTAGCAGAGTTCTGATCCAATGCTAGTATGTATAATAGGTTCAAAGAAATCAGAGTATGAATTAAAAGTAATTTACAGCGAGCAGGCCCAATTTTTTGAAAATACTTATTATACAAATAAGCCATCTGAACCCTCGAGCCTACTTTACTAAATGGCAAAGTCATGGCTGAGCTGATTACTCTACATTCCTGCTAGCCCTGATACCCTTTTGCTCCCTAATAATGAATTTCACTACCTGTGCCTTAAAAATATTTAAGAACACTCTTCCTCAAAAAGCATGGAAGCAGTGCTGCAAAGACTCTCAAGTCAGACAAAAGTTCTCCATATCCCCATTTTAAATGGTCAACCGCTTATTTTCAACACTGACCCGCAGATCTAGATTTTACCACAAGAGGAAACATTGGTCTTGATGGTTAAATTGGAGACAATCAGAATTTTGTTTCAATCACGTCAGCTCTTACTTTTTGATTTAAAACTTCAGTGGATACAGGCTGAGCCTGTTCAATTTCTTCTCATAAGGCAACATGCCATTCTACGTATTGGTCTAGCATTCATCTCTGAACTGTTTGCAACACACAGTTACATTCGTTCTTAAATATGAAGATCAATATGTACATAAGTACTCAAGGCGTGGTTTACTCTGTTTAAGTCAGTGTTCTGTTTAATTGAGGTATAACCTCCAGGCTTTGTATTCAGCTTTCCTTGCAATATGCAACAATGTTGTTAACTTTCTCGGTTTCTGTCAGTTAGGCAATCTTATATTCTTGCCTTATCTAATGCCTTCTAGAAATCTAAACACAGCATATCCACAGGTCAAGGTTCCCCTTGATCCACGTCACCACAAAGAAAGCCAATAAATTGGATAAGCCAGATTATTCCTTTCATAAAAGCATTTGACTCTATCCAATTACCTTGAAGCATTCTAAAGTGCCCTGCTATAATACCTTTAGGAATAGTTCAACATTCTCGTTACAGATGCTAAGCCAACTGACTTGTAGTCGTCTCTGTCTCCCAAATAAAGGAGTCTACTTTGCTATTTTTCTTCCGATTCTTGCAAAATTAAAATCAATGAATTAACTATTTCACTGGTTACTTCTTTTAAACCTTAAAGAGTCCATCAGAACCCATGGACTCGCCAGTCTGCCATTCTAAGTATTTACTAGTACTACTTCCCTGGCATTCATAATTTGGGTTCCTGCCTGCCTTCTTTCCATTTTCTGATTTATAGCCATTTCTGGAATGTTGCTTGTATCCTCTCTAGTGAAAAATGATGCAAAATATCTGCTCAACTAACTTCACTTCTAATTACTTTCCATTAATTCCTTAACCTCATTAACAACTCATTAACTTTTTAAAATAATATCTGTAGAAAGTTTTACCATGTTTTTATAGCTAGTTCTCTCTTATTCTAATTTTTCTCTCATTTTTAGCCAGGCTTTGCAGGTGTTTATATTCTGTCCAATCTTCAGACTGCCACCCATCTTTCTGTAATTAGAAGCTTCTCCAAGTTTAATTGCTTTAATTTCTTTACATAACTACAGATGGCAAATCTTCTCCTTGGGATTATTTCTCCTGATCTGAATGTATCTATTCAGTGTATTCTGAAATAAACCCTTAGATGTCTGCTACTGAATTACTACTGAGAAATCCCATAATCAATTTGCCAGTTTACATCAGCCAGCTCTGCTTTCATGCCCTAATAATTGTCCTTTTGAAAAATTAAACACTAGTCTTGGAGCCACTCCTCCCTCAAACTGAATGTAACATTCAACCATGTTATGATCACTGTTACCTTGGTATGTGTTCACCACATGGTCAATAATTAGTTCCACTATATTACACAGCATCAGGTCTAGTATAGCCTGCTCTCTTGGTTGTCTCCAATGCATGCTGCTTTAAGAAACAATCCTGAAAACATTACTTGAATTCCTCATCTAGGCTGCCTCTGTTCATCTGATTTTTCCACGCTATAAGCAGATTAAAATCCTACATGATTATTGCCATGCCTTTCTGAAAAGGCTATTATATCCTTTTTATACCCCTTCCTACTATGGAGTTATGGTTTGAGGCCTTGTACACAGCCGCAACTGACGTTTTGCCTTTATCATTTTTCATTTCTACTCAAACCATTTCTACATCCTGCTTTCCTGAACTGGTGTCACTCCCTCTACTTTGTAAATACCATCACTAATTAACAGTGTCACCTTTCACATTTTCCTAGCTTCCCGTCCTTCCTAAAGGTCTTGCACCTGTTAAAATTCAGTACACAATTTGCATCAGCCTGCAGCCATATTTCTGTAATGGACAACAGTTCATATTTACTTCTAGTTGTGCTATCAGTTCATCTATTTTGTTTGGACTACTATGAGCATTCAGATGGGGTCTTCAAGTTTAGACTTTCTATTATTTTCCTAACCTCTAGCCTTATCTGTTCACTTACTCTTCGATACGGATTCTATCCCTTCTAGTCTGCTTAACTACACCAAATTAATATTTTTCTCTCTTGCCTTGCCTCTACTCTTTGATTCACCACTGACGGTCACAAAGTCAAAGTCATACAGCACGGAGACACATACTTCAGTCCGACTCGCCCACACCGACCAGACATCCCAACCTGACCTGGTCTTATTTGCCAGCATTTGGCCTATAACCCTCTAAACCCTCCCTATTCATACACCCATCCAAATGCCTTTTAAAATGTTGTAATTGTACCCACCTCCACCACTTCCTCTGGCAGCTCGTTCCATACACGTACCACCCTCTGTGTGGAAAAGTTGCCCCTGAGATCTCATTTAAATCTTTTCCCTCTCACCTCAAACCTATGCCCTCTAGTTTTGCACTGCCCTACCCTGGGAAAAAGACATTGGTTATTCATCCTATACAAGCCCCTCATGATTTTATAAACCTCTAAAGGTCACACCTCAGTCTCTGACTCTCCAGGGAAAAAAGCCCCAACCTATTCAGCTTCTCCCAATAACTTAAACCCTCCAGTCCCCACAATACATTTGCAAATCTTTTCTGCACCCTCTCAAGTTTAACAATATAGAAGAGTGACCAGACTTGTGCGCCTTATTCTAAAAGTGGTCTCACTAATGCCATATACAGCCTCAACATGATGTCCCAACTCCCACATTAAATGCTCTGACTAATCAAGGCAAGTGGGCCAAATGCCTCCTTCATCACCCTGTCTGACTGTGACTCCACTTTCAAGGTGCATCTGCACCCCTAGGTCCTTGCCTCACTAGTTAGTCAAATCATCTCATCTTCCTTAGTTATTCAGCTCACTAGAACACCGGTCCCAGCTGATTGCAATGCAGA